CCGTTAGTTTTGGCGTTCCCAGGCAGCGAAGCAATGCAAAGAGAAACCCAGCCCTGGCCAATGCCGCATTACCTCATGCGGACACAGGCACGTTCATCCAATTCATTTATTAAGGGGGCAAATTTTGTTGTCTTTGTTCGTATGCTATGCTTTTTGGATTGGGTTTTGAGTTTGTTTTTCGATCCAGAGAAGTCTATGGTTTCAGATACTAAGATTTGATTTAAATGTGTTTTTAAATGTTGCGTTCGTATAGTTATTATTATTATTATTATTATTATTATTATTATTTATTATTGTTTTTATTATTGTTTTTATTATTATTATTATTACTATTATTATTATTATTATTTCAGAGTTGTTTTTGCAATTTATGTCAACAATTCTTCTTTTTAATTCGTAGTAATAATTAAATAACTGTGTTTCGTGAGTCTTGAGTCATTTATGAACTGGGCCAGAGTCACTAGATGATGAGTGATGGTATTTGTTTGAGTCACGGCAGCCGAGACGTCAGATGAGTCACGACTTCCCGTAACTGACAAGTCAAGGTAGATGAATCAGTGAGTCATATCAGCTAATAAGTCACTGACGTCATTTTGCTCAAAGTTAGTGACTCAAATAGTAAATAAAAAAAGCGGTGTGATTTTTTTTCGTTTGTGGGCGTGGTGAGGCGTAGTTTAAAGGTCTATGGTGAAGCGTGAGCATAGTTTATTGGAGTCGTGGTTAAATATAGGCGTAGTTTAATGGGCACCTTATTAAGCGTAGACGTGGTTAAATATGAGGGTGGTTTAAGGATAGCATAGGTAAGTAAGGGCGTGGTTTAAGGATAGCATAGGTTAAGGATGGCGCAAACAAAAGCTGCCTGGGCAAGGATAACATAGTAAATATAAATGGTTTAAGGACAATGTAAGTATGGGCTTAAGAATATAATGTGACGTGGTTTAAGGATAGCATAATGCGTGGGTAAGCAGGATAGCATGATAATGTATGAACATGCAAGCTTAGGAGGATAGCATAGGTAAGTATGGGCGTGGTTTAAGGATAGCATAGTAAGTATGGGCGTGGGAGGGAGGGGAATGCGTGGGGAGATGGGTTTAATAATGCTGTATTTTCCTGTACCGGAGAATACAGTAGAGTTCCTGTAACTTCCGTATGGTTGTATACTGTCCTGAACTTTTTTTTTAGTATTTGTAACTGTAATTTGAAGGGTTAGGTTATATGAAGAGAATTATCACTGTATTGGGATTCCTGCATTTTTGCTGTAATTCTCGTTTTGTTGTTCTTGTTACGTCTTGAACTTTTGCTGTATCTGATTTGCTGTATTTTTTACTGTGGCAAAATTCTTGTTGTATTATTTCTTTTTTTGGGAGGCTGTAACTTGGCTGTATTTTGCCGTTTTTTCGTATATTGATTGTTGTATTGGGCTTGCTGTAACTCTTGACTATGGTGTTCATATTAACGTCATGGACTTTTTACTGTACCGGACTTTTTCTTCTTTTTGCTGTAATTAAACTGTATTTTCCTCCTCAAAGACAACACAACAACATAACATAGCCTGAAACCTAACCTAACTTATCCTAACCTAACCCTCCAGGTAGCGTTAAGTTATTAAATCATCAGGTGAAATAAACTAAGGGATGTTAATCTTTACGTGATCCCAAAAAACGATAATTAATCCTCGTAACTAAACATAGAAGACTAATCCTAAATGGTTTTCTTCAGCTAAAATATAAAATTAAGTTGAGAATTACACTGAGATTCTACCTTAACTAGATTCGTTCACTTAGCACCAGTTAGGAGACAAAATTACACTATGAACGTATCTAGATAAGGTCAATTCTCGATATAACTTTGCTGCCATATTTTTTTTTTCACGTTGCTCATAATTGACCTCATCCCATCCTCACAATTCCTGCATAAACGGGATCTTAAGTATAATTGATTATTTACTTAATATGGGGCTCTATTAATAATACCAGCACCAGATTATTGAGTGGATTATCCTGATTATCCGCTTCTGTTCCGGATTACGTCTGTCTGTACTATGATATGTGGATTATTTTTGTATTTGATATTAAGGGTCAATAAGAGTCTGTTTTGTTTACGTCAAGGGGGGAGGGAGAGAGAGAAGGAGAGAACGAAGGTGGGAGAGAGAGAGGAAAGTTGTGAACGAGAGAAAGTGTAAATGACAGAGAGAAAAAGCGATATGCGTATTTGCTTGTGTGATATACCGTGAACGTGGTTTACTGTGAACGTGGTTTACTGTGAGCGTGGTTTATCATGGGCGTGGTTTATCTTAGACATGGTTTACTGTGAGCGTGGATTAATTTGAGGATACTTTACTGTGACTGTGGATTAGTGCGGACGTAGTTTCTCTGGGCGTGGCTTAGCATGGGCGTGGTTTATTTCTCGGAAGACCCTCCCTCCCTTCCCCCATGGTCGACGTAGTTAAATGTGGGAGTGGTCAGTTGTGTGTGTTTCCCAAGTTAGTCAGATGTATTCTACAGAAGCCAGGTGTGAAGTATGTATTGATTACCTTTACCGGATGTTAGGCTGATGAAGAAACTCTGGTGTGTGTGTGTGTGTGTGTGTGTGTGTGTGTTTGTTTATGATGGTTTTCTAGGTGGAAGGAAAAACAAACTAATATCGCTCCTTTGTAGACTGAGGCTTGTTGACACACACACACACACACACACACACACACACAGAGGCTCGCTGTCTCAGGTGTCGTGTCCTCAGTAACGCCCGACATAACTCTACACTGTTATTTGTTGTGGTACAGTGTTGCTATTTATTGAGTGGGCTGACAGGTGGAGGAGGAAGATGGAGTGGTGAGGAGGAGGAGAAAGAAAGGAGGAGGTGAACGGAAGGAGGAAGAAAGTAGGAGATGAGGGGAAGGGGTGGAGTAGGTGAAGGGGAAGGAAGAAGAGGAGGGGTAGATGAAGGGAAAGAGGGAGGAGACGGAGGAAGAGGTGAAGGGGGAGAGGAGATTATACAGGAAGAGGAAGGAGGACAGAGTTAAGCTACATTCCGATAGAAGGAGAGGAAGAAGGGGAGGGATTAAGAGAAGATGGTTTTATCGTCGCGGGGTGTTTTCCTTTAGCAGTTATCCGGATTTTTGTGTTACATTCGCGGGGGTTTTGTGTTACTTTCGCGGGGTTTTTGTGTTACTTTCGCGGGTTTTATCTAGTTTTTTTTAGTGTTACTTTTTTGCAATAGTTTTCAATGTTTTATAAGAAGATTTTTTCTTTTTCTTGTTTTTATTTTATTGCGAGTTACTGAGGTGTGGCAGTGTGGTTACTGTTCTCAACTTACGTCTTAACCTAACCTAACGCTCACAGGTATCGCGAAGGTGTTTTAATCATCAGGTGAAATAACTTAAGGTACCTAACATCTTAATCTTCAGGTGACTCAATTATTTCCTCTTTTTTTTTAATTAATTTCATCACATATTAAACACCTGTTCAGTGAGTCAGTTCACGGCGTAGGTAAACAAGGGTCTGACGTCACCTGTTACACCTGTTGCGTATAGATACAGGTTGGGATTTTAAGACAAGATGGAGATCACTATTACAAATGATCCGTTATCTCTTTATATCTTACAGTTAATATTTTCTTTTAATATATATAATTTAAGAATATCAGCATTGTTATAAGGACGATTTATATAAGAAGAGAATGTGTGTTCATGTCAGCTGAGAATATTTGTGATCAGGATATGCAACAGCTGCTGACTTCTGCTGGGTTTAATGTACATCATCTGATACCATCTGTCGCCCACCTACATCACGCTCTTGTCATTCACTTCTGATTTACTACTATTTTTTTTTATAAGACGACAGAAGTACAAGCAGTAGGCAGGCCATGTTAACATCCGAGATTGAAATATTATTAGTTAATATACAGCGTCAGGAACATGGGTCAGAGAACACATAATACACTTCTCAACATATAATTATTTATCAATCAACTGAAACTGCAAATAGTGAAAACTCAAAAAAAAAAAAACCCAGGATTTTGTTACATACCGTAAATATGGTTTTATTTTCAGTTTAACATACATATTTCGGGTTCCTTTCTGAGTTTATATCACCGGGTGTTATTTTTAGGTAATTGACGATACGGTACCTGAGGACGTGTTCAGTGGACCCTCTCTGGATAAAAGACTCTTCACCCAACCAAAAAGTGTTAAAAAAAAATTACATATCAACTTTTATCATCAGGTAAAACACGTCGAAAACCGCTTTGTCATCAGTAGCCAATATCTATCTAGTAACTTATACTAATCTGTACCAATCATTAAATCTGCAGGGGCCGTGTCCAATAGCTGCTGGCTCTTGGACGCCTGGCAGCTCCGAACTTTCACTGAGCGAAGGTCCCTGGGCCCCTGGCGTAGGTACTCGGTTCTGTGCTGGTCTAGTTACTCAGAGGACCGTGAGGTGGCGAGAGTGGTCCAAAACACTGGCTTATTTTCTCTACAGGCACTTGTCTTGAAGCTGGGAGGAGGAAATTAAAATCACCTGTAGATTAGCCCCCCTAACTTAACCTGACCTAACGCTAACCTAACCCCAGAATAAGGGAGAAGGAAATGACATAAAAATAACTAAAAAAAGAAGACATGAAAGCATTAAAACAGCAAAAAAGAATATCAACACGCCCTCACACTCGTCCTCAACATACACACTTAACCAACAGAGTGAATTAACCCGTGCTGTAGTCTCTCTAAAAAGCATTACCTTACATTGAATTAAGTCATACCATTACTCTTCTTCAGTATTATCAACCTTATGGTAACTCTACTTAAGTGTCGTAATAACTTGTCACTCTTCTCCTGGATAATGTGGTGGGGGGTTGCGTGTTTACTTTGTGTACTGTGTTGTAATGATTTAGTGTTATTATTATTATTATTATTATTATTATTATTATTATTATTGTTATTATTATTATTATTATTACACTGAGACACTGGTGTTCGGTGTTGGCCTACGAACTGAAAACGTAATCATCCTTTTAACATTAAACTCTTATAGAAAATAAATGTACCTCTAAAATATAACACAAATTCAAAGTTTCTTATTTCACATTATTTAATTTCCTAATAAGAAAAACTAAGAAACACAAGAAAGGACAAGAGAAAGTGTACGCTAAGTGTTTTGTTTGTTTTTTTAAGTTTTGGACAACGAAAATATTCCTAATGAACACTTGACCGGGAGTACTTGTGTTACAGCGTTCGTCCCAAGGTGTCAGCGTGTTGAACCAAACAGCTGGGGGAGTGATTATCATAACCCCCGTGTGTTGGGTGGAGTCTGGCCATGAGTTACAGTGATATATATCTACCCACAGTGCGTCACTCTACAGTCTGGGATTCTCTGGACTGTTATGGTATACGTGAAGACAGTCTCCAGTCGATTACCTTGCCAGTCAGGTCATAAACTGGCCATGAACCTCGAGGTGTATATCCCAGACAGTCACCACCTCATCGCTTATTCACCATGAGTCTTCAGATAACCTAACCCAAGTGGTCTTTAGTTCCTCGGGTCGTGAAGTACAGACGACGATCATCATGAGACAGAAGGACCCTATCCCAGAGACTGTCTACCTCGCCCACTAGCCACCATCTATGTAGACGTCTTCCTCCTCCATCACACATATACATACATACATACACCGTTATGGATATGGAGTTCGACTTCCTGTACATTCACCAGGACAGGAATGAGCATCGCAGCCTTCACGTCATCAAGGAGGAGGTCGGGGAGGAGGGTAAGAACTGAGGAGAATGAGTGAGCGAACTTGTTATTGTTGAGATGAATGACGTCACCTTGTTATATCCAGGTTGTGTAAATTAGAACACTCACCGTTTCCGGGTCCAGTACTTGAGAAATTTACGATTAAGTTATCAATTTCTGTATATATTACCTTTATTATCTCATTTCTCAATTTTCTCACTCATAAAGGAAATTAATTCTCATCATAATAGCAGTGACTCATTATTCCGTCCTTCATAAGTGTACAGAAAACGATTTATCTTCCAGCGATTATTTCCTGGTGTAATTTCCCCCAGGATGAATCAGAGACCTTCATTAGACATCTTTATCATGTTTCCAGAGGAGATTTTGTCACCCTAAATCTTGTTGTTGGTAATTCTGTTTGTTTTTTATTTTAAAACAATGTAACAATGACACGTTACCGAGAGACATCCTGTGGTGCTGGTCTTTTGTAGCATACACACACACACACACACACACACACACCCACCCACCCACCCACACACCCCTCCTCCCTCCACCCCTCTCCCTCCCTCATACACCCTCTCCCTCCCTCACACCCTCCCCTCACACACACACACGTCACCACACACGTCATCGTTGTGTTACGAGAGCTTGTTAACAATGCAATAATAAGTGTCATTTCCTGGTCGTACACAGACACCTTCCATGACTCCGGCACAAGCGGTCATGAGCCTGACAGTTTGGAGGCCATTCAGACGGTGGTGAACGGCGGCGACATGGTAGAGGGCCGTCCTTCGCCACCCTCACCTTCTGACGGCGACGTTGACGATAGAGGAGGGGGAGAAGGTAGAGGAGGGAAGCCCGAAGATGCGGCCATCCTACTGCATCTAGAACGCTGTAGTCACCGCCAAACAAGACGCACCTTACACGAGCTGAAGGAGAAATATGAAACTCTACAACACCAGCTCTCTCAGAGGGCCATTAAGCTCGATGAGTTCAGCGTCAGGTACGTCCTCTCCCTCCCCTCTTGTGTTTAGTAGGAGAGTCTTTTACTTGTATTTATCTGTCTGTCTCATCAGGGTGTTGAGAGGAACTTGTGTTTTGTTTTGTTGACAACTCTCTCTCTCTCTCTCTCTCTCTCTCTCTCTCTCTCTCAACGCAGCAACGAAACAGATAACACCATCAAACTCACACACCAAAGTACCACAACACCGCACACACACCACTAGACAGGTAGACAGACAGACAGGTAGGCAGAAAGACAGACAGACAGGTAGGTGGGCAGGCAGATAGACAGACAGACAGGTAGGCAGGTATGCAGGTAGACAGACTGACAGGTAAGCAGACAGACAGGTGTGTACATGACCCAGTATAACAGGTAACATGACTGGGTAATTACCTGTCTCGTGCCGTAATGAGTGACTCTATGCACGCTCTTCTACAGGAGGAGCGGAGCTGTATTGGCGGGGGATAGATAGATAGATAGATAGATAGATAGATAGATAGATAGATAGATAGATACAAACATACATAGAAAATAGTTAACATGAATCATAATCATCATTATTATACTGCCATCATTCTTATCATTATTGCTGTTACTATTATCGGTATTATCATCATGAGTGTGACCACCTCCTCCTCCTCCTCCTCCCTGGCCTCCTTCAGGACTGTTGGCAGTGATCTCGAGAGTCTTCACATTGAACAAGAGACGATCCTCAACTCTCTCGAATCTCTCAACTCCATCGCCTCCTCCGACCGTCTAGTGGATGAGCTTAAGGTAAGGTAATCAGTGACACACACCTATTTGACGGCTATTGTATTGAGTTAGGGACGCTTAGGGACCTCCAGGTACCTCTAGAGACTTTCAGAGACCTCCAAAGACCTCCTAGAGACCTACATGTTTATATTCTTAGAGACGAGATTTTGAGTTTGTTGTTTGTTTATGTTTTATAGTAATTTCACGCAAGAGGTCGTATTTTGGTTAGGTTAGGTTAGGTTAGGTTAGGTTAAGTGAGATTGTATTACTCTCCAGGTACAAATATTAGTGACACGGATGTTATTGATGTCACTTGTTATTGATGTGCTATTATATTTGATGTCATTGATGTTAGGGATGTAAATGGTGATGATAATACTTCTTTTATTACGTGATTTAAATGTCTTGAATGATGATGATGATGATGATGATGATGATGATGATGATGATGATGATGATGATGATGTATCTCGTCACCAGCTGCGAGAGATGACCATTAGCCAGCTGAGGAGTAAAGTGTTGCAGCTGGAGAAGGATCGTCTGGATAAAGTCCCCTTCGACGCTGCCAAGGAGATAACCAGACTCAACAATAACCTGGTGAGGTCATGTAAGGTCACGACCCCTGTGTGTGTGTGTGTGTGTGTGTGTGTGTGTGTGTGTGTGTGTGTGTGTTATTATGCTATCTGAGGCATTTTCTTTTTCTGCCTTTTGTTACCTAACCAGCCAGCCATATTTATCTGTTTGTCTGTATGTATGATGGTCTCTCTCTCTCTCTCTCACACACGTACACATACGCTCAGTAAACACCAGACCATTATTACTTGTCAAAAGTTTACACACACACACACACACACACACACACACACACACACACTACCACCACTTACGCTTGCAGTAGTTACCCCAGCGTGGCAGGAACACGAGTTAGAGCAATAATTGGGTCGTTACGCCTCGTGATGGCTGTTACCGCCTGCCTGTTAACCTTCTCTATGGGCGGCGCCCTTAGCGGTACACACGACAACCTGTCGTTAAACTCTTCCCTCCTGAAGCAGAGCAGAGAATTAGAACCTTTTTTACGTGACATAAGCCGTTTTATTCTCTCTTCTAGGAGGTTAGTTTGTTATTATTTCAGCAGGTATATGGAAGAGGAAATTAACCTAACCTAACCTAGCTCAACCTAACCTAACCTAACCTAACCTAGATATGATGGGAAACGCATCTAGACAACCGTAACATAACGTATAAATCTATTCTTAAAGTTTATTCTCATAGAGAAAGTTTATTTAGGAATGTCAGTACAAAGACATACAGCCCAGGTAAAGAGTGCAGGTACGGTGATTGCTAAAGGGGGCAATGGTGACTGAGAAGGGAGGGAGGGAGAGTCACCAGAGCATCCCCGTGAAAGAAATGATATCATGAAAGAACGAAGGAAGATGATGACGAGTAAAAGATGCTGGAGATGATGAGCACTAGGCCAAAAATAATGTGATGAGGTTTGTAGCCTGAATCAGTGTATTTTGGTAGGAGAGTTTGAAGGAATTAATGGGTAAGTTGGGAGACGTCGAGGCGATCCCAGGGAGATTAAAACTCCTTCTTTGGTGTAGATAGAAACATTCAGTCACTAACACAATTAAAAATACAATGGCTTTACTGTGAGTAGTGATGATTGATGTTACTTGTAGGCGTCTATAGTTAGAGATCTCTGAAGAACGAAGGGGGGAATTGTGAAATAGTTTGGTGTCGTCCATTCAAGGCTTCTGGTCAGGGGTTGAAGGCCAATGAGAGAAAATGAGTAAACACGAGACCCTAACCTTGGGGGACCTCCAGCAACGAACTGAAGACTGTGTGAGCTGGATCCTTCTCTGTCATGGTGAGGATTCTGTTGTAGGAAAGAAGAAACAGGAGATGAGTAAATTGCGAAGTGCATTTGAGAAAATTAATGATTTAGAAGAGAAGAAAAATGATAAATAGATACCGGTGCATAATAGATTCTGACCAATAATACCAGATATGAAATTTGGTCTCTTTTTTTTTTTTTGGGGGGAGGTTCAGAGAGAAACACTACATTCTGTATACCAAGAAGGGTGATAATGATGAACGATTAGAGACACTGACTGCTCAAGGGCTCACAACAATTCACTGCACAGCTGCACACACACACACACACACACCGTAAACTTACCCAACACAGCGGGCGGCCGTGAGGTGGCTTGAGTGAATACCGACTTATGTTTACTTGGTATCTTTTATAGTATTGACCCACGCTTATTGTTTACATCCTCCGAGGCCATATTACCGACGGTATATTTAACTGTTAGTATTTCATCTCGTGAGTGTAGAATCATACGTGAATAACAATGCTTCCAGGAGAGTGTTTCACCATTTCCGTCCTCCGCCGTTCCCGGAAGAAAACAGAAGTGTGTTAGTTGTTATTTCATTCGTCTGTCTGTCTGTCCACTCCGTCTGTCCTTCCTGGAATTGTCAATACCATAACTCAAATAAATTTTGATGGATTTTAGCAAAAAATTCTCAGACGTGTCTTTAATGTCAAGAGTTATGGACTCTTGCTCGTTTAGCGACGCGGAGAGCAACTTGGCCACTTTCACCACCAGGTCTTGTGAGGCTGCTGATTGATCAGGTCTCGTAGAACGTACATTTAGAACATACGAGTCATTGCAGAACATAGGAAAATACACGGGCGAGAGTCATGAACATTGATGTATGATGAACACAGATGAACGCAGTCAGTAAACAAAAAAAAACATATTTGTAGTCTCAATCGTCTGGGTAATGAAACGCCATGACTTGGGAGCACACGACAACACGGCCATCGAACAGTGAAATAACCCAGTAGTGTTTCCATGGGGAGGTAATGTAGAGCTACTCGTCAGGGAGAGAGAAATGAAGCCAAGTGGTGTTGCTAGTACAGTGGTAACTTGCGTATCTCTCACCAATATGTCAAGGGTTCGAGTAACGTCCCAGACACAAGTGAGAATAGTGTTATCTAGTGTGACCCTCACTCCCAAACACCACAGGTTTCTCAGTCTCCGGTTTCCTCTTGTACTAACACTGGATAGACCAATCACCCGAACGGCTAGTAAGCTGATAAGTGGCGAAATTAATAAACAAATTACACATATAGTTAATGAGAAGACCAATTTTAAAATTTTATGTAAGTGAATTGATGTGATAAATTATGTGTGGTTATAACGCGCTTAACACAGTAACACCCGACGTCTAGTCACTCTAGTGTACACGTGTCCTTGACGAGCAATGTAGAAAAATCCCCGGCCACAATTTCCCTCATTTCTACAATGAATCATCGGCCACGGTGTACTGAGTTAACATGACTGTCGTTGTACTATTTATGTTTGGTGATTAGCCGTAGTTGGTTGTGGTTTGCTGCAACGTGGGGAAGATAATCACCGGAAATTCAATGGTGTGTAGCGAAGGATAACTTTAGGATAATGGGCTACGTTGGACATTTGACAGGATGGATAAAGCTGGGTATTGACAGGGTGGATAAAGTTGGACATTGACAGGGTGAGTAAAGTTGGGCATTGGCAGGGTGGATAAAGTGATTTAGATCCATCTATATACTGTACAGTATATATTTTCTCTCACCTCAAGCACGTATTTACTCATGTTTACTTCCTCACCCACAGATCCAGTTAGAGAAAGCAAGAGACGAGTTAACGATACAGAATTTCTCCCTCAAGTCCAAGTTATCTGACCTGACCACCAAAATCAACGACCCCGCCGCCACTTACCAAATAGCTAAGGAATCCCTCAGTTTTAGAGAAAACTTGATCCAAAATACAGAAAACGGGAAACTGAAAGACGTGGATGACCCAGATGTTGTGAAAGTACTCAGAAAGGCGACATACAAAGTGACGAATGACACTCAGAAACTCAGACAAATGTGCACAGAGTTAGTGAATAAAGAGGAAGAGTACAAGAAGAGAATAACGGACTTGGAGACGGAAGTGAGGAATCTCCAGAACGAGAACTCGAAGCGGTTTGATAAGGCCATTCGGGAGATGGAGAACCGCTTGGAGATAACCTCACAGAAGCTGGAGGCCGCGGAGAGGTACCTCACGTCCAAGGAGGAGGAAGGTAATATGCTTAAGCTCGACATAGATACACTCAATGACGAGAACAAGAGATTAAAAGAAAATCTAAACGAATTAATATTAAAACAAAAGGTAAGCAAAGTGTTTGTTTTTACTGACGAATTTATTGATTTTTTAACTTCATGAAGTATTTATACTTTTGTATATGCTGTTAAAATGACTGTGATTTTAAGAGATAAGAATATGTTCTTGAGGAGTAAATCTTGACAGCAATTGGCATCAAAATTTCTTCCCTATTAATTTTCTTCAATCGCTTTCCTTCGCCTCCCCCTCCCCCTCCCTCTCCCTCTTCCACGTTCCCCCTTACCTTCCCTCTTCTTCCACCTTCCCTCCCCCCTCTCCTACCTTCCTTCCCTCTTCCACCTTCCATCCCTATTTAACTTCTCTCCTGCAGGATTACCTGGAGGAGACGTCGCAGAAAGCGGTGCTGGAGGGGAGGTTCACCAGGTTAGCCGAGGAGAACCGGGTGTTGGCAGAGGACTTCAACAGGGAGCGAGTGTTGAGGAAGAAATACTACAACCAGGTGATTATCTCTCTTTCTCTCTCTCTCTCTCTCTCTCTCTCTCTCTCTCTCGTTATCAACACCTTCATCAGTCTATTTTAAGCTACAATGATTAATTATCTATCCATTGACCCAATTCCCTTCACTTTGCCCTTCATTTAAGATTACAAAACAGACGTACAAGTAATACATGAACTTAACGTAAACTATACTTGTTATACATGAGGATATAAGCGAGTCATGTACGAAGGTCAGGTCAGGTCAGGTTAGGTTATGTTATGTATGAGTGATGATACGGACCAAGACTGACAGACAGACACACTTTTGTAGAGGTGAGGGAGAAAATCTAACTTACGGTTCCATGAGGCTGCTAGGTCCAGGGCAGCATCGTGTGGGGTGTAGCTGCTGGGGTCAAGAATCTAACTTAACCAGGGTGTGTACTGTGTGTGTGTGTGTGTGTGTGTGGTGTAGGCGGTTGGTGATGTTGATGGTGGTGTTGGTACTAGTGATGGTGGTGGTGTTGGTGATGATGGTGATAGTGATGGTGTTGGTGATGGTAGTGGTGATGATGGTGATAGTGGTGGTGATGACGGTGGTAGTAATGATGGTAGTGGTAATGGTGATAGTGGTGGTTGTGATTGTAGTGGTGAAGGTGATAGTGGTGGTGGTGGTGTTGGTAGATTACTTGTTGGTTGTGGTCAGTAAGCGTGACGTCATTCACGGGTGGGTTCAGTTCACTGCCCCAGAGTCAAGCAGGAAGAACCACCCTCGCTGTGTCTTATTTGTAAACCAACTATTTCACTCCATCTTATATTTATTCACATCTCACATCCTCTAGTTGGCCTGAGACACAATACACAGCACATGTTCCTTGGTTTCAGTTAATGGTGAAGGAGAGTGAAGGGAAACAATGGAGTGGTGTGCTGTTTGGTGAGTCTTGGTGTATGTCTCTATATCACGCCACTGTCCTTTTTTTGGCGGGCTGAGTTGTGATTCTCATTAGATGTGTGTGTGTGTGTGTGTGTGTGTGTGTGTGTGTGTGTGTGTTTCGTGGCAACCTGACGTGTAACGGTCAGCATGTTTTTTTTCCAAACGAATAGTACAGGGTTCAATCCCTGGGGTAATGGTTAGCCAGTGCAGTTGGCGAGTTGTCCGGTCTTCTCGGGCTATTTCTCGACACTGGGTCATGCAGCTCGTTAACTTAGGGTGTGGTTGTTGTGTTGGCGACAGCTTCTACACCTTAAACAAATCCACACGTAGGTGGTCCTAGGGCCGGTCATCCTCGATCACATGAGGCAACCATTATACAGTGTATATTATGTATGTTTGATTAGATATAGATATGTATGTATGCGTGTGTATAAACGTATACATACTGTATACACATAATTTGTCACCAGCACCTCTCACCCACCAAAAACCTTTCATCCTTCATTGGCCTTTGACCTGTTATTGACCAGTAACCTTCACCGCCCCCGCAGGTGGAAGAAATGAAGGGCAAGATCCGTGTGTTCTGCCGTGTTCGCCCCATGAGTGAGGGAGAGAGGAGGCAGGAGGTGGGTGGGGAGGTGACAGCGGTTGAGGATGAGTTCACCCTCGCCGTCAACACTCAGCGAGGTCACAAGTCCTTCCTCTTCGACCGTGTCTTCCAACCTCACGACGACCAGGACGCCGTCTTCCAGGATACTAACGTGAGTAGTGAAGCCCCTCACTTTGTCCTAGTTTGTTTGTTTGTTTGTTTTCGGCGAAAAGGAAATAATTAAGGGTGTTTTTGTTTATCTTCCCAGCGACCGTAGCATGGCAGTCTCTAACGCCTCACAGTTTTGATATGAAAATATTAATTCAGCTCAGAGTCCGGGGATCAGCTTGGGTCTGTATATAGCGGTCACTTGATACAGTGTAAGCTTACTGGAGTTTCAGCACCACACCTGCTCGAGCTAAAGTTACCCCTACACGACAGGTCCGTTTTCTTTTATCCCGATCAGGACCAGTGGATATTTTTTTATTCTTCCCTATGACAGCACAAACCAAACGCAGCGGACGACACCATACAAACAGACCTGCACGAGCTGTTCAGGTCACAAGACTGGCAGTGGTCTTTAACATAACAGATGTAAGACTCTGCACATAGGATACAACAACCCCTAATCATAACTACTGTATTATGTTTATAACATTTTCTTGAATACTGTTGATAAGGAAAGAGATCTAGGCGTTGTGGAAGATCAGTCACTGAAGCCGGTGCAACAAGTGGGGCAGCAATGAGGAAAGCCAGTTGAGATTTCTGTATTTATAAAGTGTACCTTCAGATACAATGGTGTGAAAATTCTTGGTCATCTTTCTATACTTCTCGCACGTCCCCATCTGGATTACTGTATACGAGCATGGAAACCTAACATCCCTAGACAAGGGGCAACACTAAGCGACTTAAATGATTCCTGAACTATAATATGTCATCTCGATTTTTCTAGTAGGCAATAGAGCAGATCTCACAGAGACATTTAATATCTTGAAAGTGAAGGAAAACGTGAACCCGGGACATAATGTCACGCACCACCAACACGAAGGGACATAACTACGGTACAAGCTCGCCAAGTTATCATGCAGAAAGAATATAAGGAAATACTTTCTTACACAGAGGCTGGTAGACTTATGGAACGTTCTACCAGTCCAAGCTGTGGAATGAAGATCAGTGACTTCAAAATGGCCGTAGACAAAATTATCATGAACAAAGGGGAATCTTAGGCCACTGGTCTCCCTCCCCATGGCCACCTCTATTGAGTGACCATTGGTTAAATAACCGAGCCAACCTTAACCCCGTCATCGTAGACTAAGTGATTTTTTTTCAATCATTAACCACTTATCTGCTTACTAGTCGTTCAGGCGGTCGGTCTGTTCTCTGTTACTGTGCTATGACCTTCATTGTCCAGTGTTGGTACAGGAGGAAACTGGAGACCCAAAGAAAACCTGCCATGTTTGGTAGTGTCACAGTGCATAACGCGTGTGTTCTGGGCCAGGAAGTGAACTCAGGACCGATATAATAGTAATAATAATAATAATAATAATAATAATAATAACAATTAACAGTTTATTGAAAGAGCATGGCAGCCGGAAGGCTGTAAATATACAGTTACATAATTGGGAAATGGGTCACTTGATTGACAAATGATATACAAGTAACATAAGTGATAAAAATATGATATATAATAACTAGATGAGGAAAAGGTCATATTACAGGGCATTTCAACTTAGTGACAGTGCAAAAAGGTAAGATTGAGATTGACTGGGAGTGAAAACATTGGTTGATTACGAATTGTTGAAAATTTTTACAATGGTTGGGACTGGGCTCGTATGGGCTGGAGGCGGTTATGGTGCCGAACAGCAATGCGCGGACGAGAGATTTCGGGAGATTCTGTATGAGAAATATGACGTCACCTGCTCCAGCCACTCACAACCCTGGCTGACAGACGGATTTTAGTCGCTCTTTCGAAACTGGGTAGTCCATTTGGCCGAAACCACAGGATATCACCTCGTGCATCTGGCAGCGGAGTGTCATAGATGGCTGACTGACAGAAGGTTACCCCGGCACCACCTGCCTCACTGACTATACGGTGGGTGGCCCCCAGTTCTAATGGGCGAGCCCCGGAAGAGACAGCTGGTATAATGTATCGTTCAGGGTTCCTCAGAGCTCAGTTACTCTCCCCTCCTTCCTCCAGGACCACCCGCCATCCCCATTGTTTTCCCAAGAATTACAGTATATTTTAACTAAATTTTACGTTTCAACACATGAACAGCCTACCGGGTCCCCATTGGCCCCGGAACCTAGTGTTTTGGTAACATTCACACCTCTACCGGGCCCTGCTATGGGACCCAGTCCTAATGGTTTAGCTTATGGTGGTGACCTTTACCACAACAGTATGGTCGGTGACGGAGCACAGGTGTGGTGGGAAACACACACACACACACACACACACACCACCCGTGAATCTCCTTTGTCCGCCAATAAAAGTTCTGTTCACTCGTGTCTTGATGTTGGAACCCAATAGTCGAATTCTTGAAGGTTCTTCTTACTTTAAAGTTTCCTCCTAACTAGAGATGTGAGAACCTCTCCTAATTTCTCACTTCAGTACGACACAAAGTTGGTTTTTCCAGGTACGTATTTGTGATTAGCCTCTTAATTAAAATTCTAAATATACAGTTAAGTTCCTCATGTATTTTAGAACACATAGATGGAGTCTCAAGGGTTCCTGCGTTAAAATTCCCTCCCAATGGAAATCTTGAGATGTATTTACCTTGTCACGACACAGAGTCCGTCGCCCATATGGTGTCGCTATGGCTCTCTGGCTCTACTGAATGTTGGTCATAGGTTTTATACCATATGACTCTTTGATAATAAGAACGTAACGCTTAAAGGCTTTTCTGAACAGTGGGAAGTGTCTTGTAAGATGCCGTCAAGAAGCCAACTGAGGCGAGTGTTGATGGCGTCCGTCTTCCATACCCTATTCCTCCTCCTCCCCCTCCTCTTCCTCCTCCTCCTCCTCTTCCTCCTCCTCCTCCTCCCCTCCTTTTCCTCCTCCTCCTTCTTCAGGGCTGCGGGAGGAGCACAGGAGGAAGTCCACTTTATCTTGGCTGGGTCGCTGGCCCCTAAGAGTGACGCCACCCACCCAGTCACCCTCACTATAGCTACTGATTTTTTTTACGTCTCCAACTCACTCCCCATTACCCCCTCACCGCCTCCTCCCCACCACCCCCTACTTCACCTCTATTCTCATCACTCCTACCCCCCCACTCCTACCCCCCACTCCTATATATATCTCTCAACCCCTAAAATGACTCCTCCTATATATCTCTTGAATCCTCTTTACGTGAATATATACAATAATTAGACCACATTTATACCCACTAAGACCCCTCTGAATTAATCCTACTAGTGGTAGTCAAGTAAAGTCATAGTGATATTATTGATAAGGAAATTAATCAACTCTTAATGACCCTCTTTTGGATTTTAAGAGGTCAGAGGTCGTTAGAAGTCAAAGGTCGTTTTGTAGTGAGTTAATGAGGTTTTATGTTTGAGATAGATAGATGATCTTATGGGGGTTGGAGACGTTCAGATGGCAAGATAAAATTAGGTGAGTGTAAGGTTATGGAGATACTTTAAGTTATAAGTATCTGCCACAAGTGTTAAAGTATCTGCCACAAGTATTAAAGTATCTGCCACAAGTGTTAAAGTATCTGCCACAAGTGTTAAAGTATCTGCCACAAGTATTAAAGTATCTGCCACAAGTGTTAAAGTATCTGCCACAAGTGTTAAAGTATCTGCCACAAGTGTTAAAGTATCTGCCACAAGTGTTAAAGTATCTACCACAAGTGTTAAAGTATCTGCCACATGTTTACCTATCCCCACTCCCACATCCCCCGCCCCACGAAGGCAGGAGATAGGCCTCACCCCCCCACCACCACCTTGCTTAAGACACTTATTCATAAAGACAGAAATTTTCCGCTCTGGTCATTTATGATTTGTGGTGGAGGTGTGAGAGTCAGGTGTTGGAACAGGCAGTCAGGTGTTTAGTGGACGATGGAGGGGGGGAAAGAGGGAGTTAGGCGAGGAAGGGAGTTAAAGGAGGGAGGGAGGGAAGGAGGAGAGGGGAGTAGCGAGGGAAGGGAGGAAGGAAGGAGAGGGATGTAGGGGGAGGAAAGGAGGGTGGAGTGGGGGACAGATAGGTGGAGAGAAGTAAAGGAGGAAGGAAGGGAAGGGGGGAGAGAAGCTCACTGTAAACTAATTTCCTCAGTTCCCTCTTCTTCTTTGTTCCTTCTCTTTCCTTCCCCTTCCACACCTTCTTCACCCTCCACACCCTCCCTTCCCCTTCCACACCTTTCTTCACCCTCCACACCTTTCCTTCCCCTTCCACATCTTTCTTCACCCTCCACACCTTTCCCTCCCCTTCCACACCCTTTCTTCATACCCTTCCTTCTCCCCTACACCATCCTGTCTCTCGATACGACGCAGCTTCAGCTTAACCTGGCGTAATTGAAGCCATGATAACAGTGGAGAAGGTGTAGAGTGACAAGTATTGTGTTGATGTCCTCGATGTAGACACCCTTCTCCACCCCTACCCCGCATCCCTACCCCCACCCCACTACCCACACCCACACCCCCATCCCTACTCCCCATCCCCCACCATCCCCATTCCAACCCTCCACCCCAGCCACCCACCCACCCGCCATCACCCATCTCTAACCCACCACTTGGCTCACTGAGATCCCATGAAGTGCTCCAGTTGGTCTACTTCGATACACTTGGCTCGGTGAAGTCAATAAGTCTTACAGTCGCTCTAACCAACACCTATCAGAGAGGAAATGACTGTGGTGGATTGGGAAGGTGTTTTGTCCAAGAGGTGGCGTGAAATAATCTTACCGTGATAAGACATACAATGGAACTTCACAATAAGGTTACCGGGGCGCATCATGGTGGCAGACACGGGCAACAAACTCTCTATGGCACCAACTAAATCCATAGAACGATGTATGAGAGAGAGAGAGAGAATGAAAATGGAATCTAGGGTCACGTGTGTGTTAATATGAGCACTGAGACCACACAACAAGCAGCAGGTGCCCACAAGTGAGACGCCGAAACCCACCACCTGGCCAGACACACACCAACCATTCTCGGAAAACTTAATGACCCATTTAGGAGTTCGTGCGTCGGTGAAGGCCATAACTCAGGTATTACTGTGACTCTGCCTTGATGCCTACTATTGTCTCATTCATCATGTGGACTGTTGGAATTGTCCAAAAGTTGAAAAAATAAACGTTTTTTCTTTCTGGTAACGTGAGCTTAAAAGTCAAACTAAAACAAAGTAATCTGATTATTTTTTTTATTTACTCTTCACTATTGTTTCTTCTTGGTCTAGTGTTTTAAGCTGGGGCGTTTGAGTGTGTGTTGTAGTACCTGAAGGTCGTGTGATAAGCAAGAGATGTTGGTGTTTTGATCTTGTTCTCATGGGACTCCAGATTTTAGGGACATTTTCTAATTTGTGAGGTGTGGGTGTCAGCTAGGTAGTATAGAACGCCAGTGACTTGTGTTCCTTCATTATTATTGATTCATGGAGCTCGACCCACGGAACAGAAGACACGGGAAGTGCGGGAGAAGGAATTGTGTGATGTTTTATGGCCAGGCGACTCACATCATCAGAGAGGTGACTGTCTCACTGTCGTCATGCGTAAGATACCTCTAACACTGCTGGTCACGATGATACCACGAGCCTTGTTCTGCTTCTCTTGTTGATATACCATAAGGCGGAACACAACGATCTATTGTTCAATGGTAGTTGGTCTATAGACACACATAAGCTTACAGAGAGTACATAACCTAGCGGTGTTGTTGTTGATACCCGTTTTGGGTCATGGGTGTAGTTAAGGAACATAAATAGTTAGTGGTATGGCATTTTGAATGGAAAAAGTTAGAGTTTATGATAATCCAAACTGGGGAACATACCTGTTGGTGATTCTTTACTTCTCTGTATCATTGTCTCATGTCTACGTTATCACTTGAATTTGTCTCTTGGTGGAGCTACGGCTACACCAGGAGGCTGATGACTCTGTTATATAGTGGCACTAGGACAGCATCTGTGACTAAATACTATGTTCTGAGCTTTTCTCTTACGCTACTCTATGTCGATTTTGTCTTACAGGAATACAGCATCTACGGTTCACCTGTACTGTACTACATGTTAACTTATCTTACAGCAGTACAACATCTACAGTTCACCTGTACTGTACTACATGTTAACTTACAGCAGTACAGCATCTACAGTTCACTTGTACTGTATACTTACTTGGCCTCTTATCACAGGCTCTGATTCAATCGGCACTGGACGGGTTTAACGCGACCATCATGGCGTATGGACAGACTGGTTCAGGCAAGACCTACACCATGTTGGGCACTCAGGCCAACCCAGGCATCGCTCCCCGGGCCTTCCAGCGACTCTTCCAGCTGGTGGAGGGCGGCAAGGCCAGGCACGACGTCTACATCTCTGCCTACATGATGGAACTCTACAACGACAAGCTTATTGACCTTTTCAAACCCGTACATACGGTTGAGGTCAGTGAATAACAAGTGTGGATGTTTCTAAAAATATCGAACAATATGTAGACAGGACAAGGTTAGAATAACAAGCTTGAAAACTTTCTTAAATGGTCCATAATATCAATAGGAGTCATAGAATTGTGTTAGTATGGCTCTCTCAGTTGATCTATCTATCTATCTATCTATCTATCTATCTATCTATCTATCTATTATGGTTTTTTCAGAGTGAGCGGCTAGAGATAAAGAGAGATAAGAAAGGCAGCGTCCACGTGCAGGGAGCGACAGTCCGTAATGTAACCTCAGCCAGAGACTTGGGTCAGGCATTTGAGGAAGGCCTGATGAACCGCCACACAGCCTCCACCAAAATGAACGTGGAGAGCTCTCGTTCCCATCTCCTGATAGTGATATGCCTTAATGTAACCTCTAAACAAACTGGCAATGTTCTTAAAGGAAAGGTAAAGAAAAAAGTCATTGTTTATTATTTTGATTTTGTTTGTTTACGTTTTTGTGAATTATTACTGTTTGAATTATCTGTTTTAGTTGGTTTATGTATTTCTCTGTTGATGTTTATGGATTATCTTTACCATCTGATGAACTTAATTTAGTGTATGCGAGGAATGACAATGTGTGTTTTTGTTGTAGTGTGTATGGGGGTGTTTACATCTGTCAAGTTAGTTGATATTCTGTATAGCAAGTGTATATTTGTGATGGGATTGAGAACCATATTGTATTTTTTTCGAGTTTGTTTTTACAGGATTTATCATGTATTGTAATTGTGTAAGGTGGCCGGATTCAAGAACAAGTTAGTATCCCTTAGTGCATATACGTTTTCTGTAAAAGTTGTATTGAAGAGAACTAAAGGAATTTACTGGTAAACCATGTTTTTTTTTTCCGGCAAATTTGCCCCTTGGAGAGAACAGGCTTACATTTGAACACGTTATTTTTCCTTTAAATATTCATCATTTGGCTTAATATTGCTATTGCTCTCACCCCAGCTGACCCTGGTTGACCTGGCTGGCAGTGAGCGGGTCAGTAAGAGTGGTGCCTCGGCTGACCAGCTTAGAGAAGCCAACTCCATCAACAAGTCTCTCTCAGCTCTGGGTGATGTTATCTCTGCCTTGTCGTCAGAGTCCTCCTTCGTCCCCTACAGGTGAGTTCTCTCTCTCTCTCTCTCTCTCTCTTAAAAATTAATAGAGAAAACTTTTTACTTTAACCGAAAACAACGTGCAAAAATTCACCTGGACTGGGGACCCACTGTTTACCTTCCTAATCCAGGTGAAATTTTGTATCCGGGATCTCCTTAAAGGTTTACAACATAACACTAGTGATTTATTATGGATCCTATATACTACTAACGTTCCCTGGACACAAGTTGGCTCAAGAAAGTGTCGCATCTCTCTTGAACCCTTGATAGGACCACTTAACTGCAGTACTTTCCTAAGCACTTTTATTAGCCTATATTTGTCACCACTTTGACACAACGCAAGTACGAGTAATGCCATTCTTTGGAACTTTCCTCGACACTTTTCATGATATTTTCTTTGACAATTACACTTACATTTCCCTTGATATTTTCAATGACAAGTCGCTTGACACTTTCCAAGATAATTCACTTAACACTCTCCGTGACACAACGACAATCCCTTAATATATTTCCTTGAAACTTCCTTTAACTCTTTCAATGACACTTCCCTTAACTCTTTCAATGACACTTCCCTTAACTCTTTCAATGACACTTTCCACAACACATAACTTGATACTATCCCTTGTTTACACCCACAGGAACAGTAAATTGACAATGCTCCTTCAAGACAGTCTGGGAGGAAACGCTAAGACGCTCGTGTTCGTCAATGTTTCCCCAGCTTCTTACAACGCTGACGAGACGCTTATATCACTCATGTAAGTAAACCCATATTGTTGTTAATCTTGTGTGTGTGCTCAGTACATTATCGTGTTACATTACTATGTACTATGTACTTAAAAAGTTAGGCGCATTAAATTTTAGTTCAGAGAGAAAAAGTATTTTTGGCCAAAAATCCTTTAAGGCTTTAGACTTACAATTTTTGTCATTTTCGGCCAAAAAATGGATTTTGTTCAAAATTTCAGTATAGGTACTCCTGAATGTGCTGCTTAAGGATCTGTTAACCAAAATTTGATATCTTGATTATAACTTGTTCAAATGGCTTTTAGAAAATGTTCAAATGATTTTTAGAATATTTTAATTACTTTTGCAATGCTAATTACTCGCCACTTATGGGTTTTCGAGGTCATTTATTGGTGCTTGTGTATTATTCTGGATGTACTTAAAAAGTTAGGCGCATTAAATTTTAGTTCAGAGAGAAAACGTATTTTTGGCCAAAAATCCTTTAAGGCTTTAGACTTAAACTTTTTGTCATTTTCGGCCAAAAAATGGATTTTGTTCAAAATTTCAGTATAGGTAATCCTGAATGTGCTGCTTAAGGATCTGTTAACCAAAATTTGATATCTTGATTATAACTTGTTCAAATGGCTTTTAGAAAATGTTCAAATGATTTTTAGAATATTTTAATTACTTTTGCAATGCTAATTACTCGCCACTTATGGGTTTTCGAGGTCATTTATTGGTGCTTGTGTATTACTCTGGATGTACTTAAAAAGTTAGGCACATTAAATTTTAGTTCAGAGAGAAAAAGTATTTTTGGCCAAAAATCCTTTAAGGCTTTAGACTTACAATTTTTGTCATTTTCGGCCAAAAAATGGATTTTGTTCAAAATTTCAGTATAGGTACTCCTGAATGTGCTGCTTAAGGATCTGTTAACCAAAATTTGATATATTGATTATAACTTGTTAAAATGGCTTTTAGAAAATGTTCAAATGATTTTTAGAATATTTTAATTACTTTTGCAATGCTAATTACTCGCCACTTATGGGTTTTCGAGGTCATTTATTGGTGCTTGTGTATTATTCTGGATGTACTTAAAAAGTTAGGCGCATTAAATTTTAGTTCAGAGAGAAAAAGTATTTTTGGCCCAAAATCCTTTAAGGCTTTAGACTTACAATTTTTGTCATTTTCGGCCAAAAAATGGATTTTGTTCAAAATTTCAGTATAGGTACTCCTGAATATGCTGCTTAAGGATCTGTTAACCAAAATTTGATATCTTGATTATAACTTGTTCAAATGGCTTTTAGAAAATGTTCAAATGATTTTTAGAATATTTTAATTACTTTTGCAATGCTAATTATTCGCCACTTATGGGTTTTCGAGGTCATTTATTGGTGCTTGTGTATTATTCTGGATGTACTTAAAAAGTTAGGCACATTAAATTTTAGTTCAGAGAGAAAACGTATTTTTGGCCAAAAATCCTTTAAGGCTTTAGACTTACAATTTTTGTCATTTTCGGCCAAAAAATGGATTTTGTTCAAAATTTCAGTATAGGTACTCCTGAATGTGCTGCTTAAGGATCTAAACCAAAATTTGATATCTTGATTATAACTTGTTCAAATGGCTTTTAGAAAATGTTCAAATGATTTTAGAATATTTTAATTACTTTTGCAATGCTAATTACTGCCACTTATGGGTTTTCGAGGTCATTTCTTGGTGCTTGTGTATTATTCTGGATGTACTTAAATAGTTAGGCACATTAAATTTTAGTTCAGAGAAAACATGTTTTGGCCAAAAAATCCTGAACTTAGACTTACATTTTTGTCATTTTGCAAAATGATTTTGAACCATTTCAGGTACTCCTGAATGTGCTGCTTAAGGATCTGTTAACCAAAATTTGATATCTTGATTATAACTTGTTCAAATGGCTTTTAGAAAATGTTCAAATGATTTTTAGAATATTTTAATTACTTTTGCAATGCTAATTACTCGCCACTTATGGGTTTTCGAGGTCATTTCTTGGTGCTTGTGTATTATTCTGGATGTACTTAAATAGTTAGGCACATTAAATTTTAGTTCAGAGAGAAAAAGTGTTTTGGCCAAAAATCCTTTAAGGCTATAGACTTACAATTTTTGTCATTTTCGGCCAAAAAATGGATTTTGTTCAAAATTTCAGTATAGGTACTCCTGAATGTGCTGCTTAAGGATCTGTTAACCAAAATTTGATATCTTGATTTGATATCTTGATTATAACTTGTTCAAATGGCTTTTAGAAAATGTTCAAATGATTTTTAGAATATTTTAATTACTTTTGCAATGCTAATTACTCGCCACTTATGGGTTTTCGAGGTCATTTATTGGTGCTTGTGTATTATTCTGGATGTACTTAAAAAGTTAGGCACATTAAATTTTAGTTCAGAGAGAAAAAGTATTTTTGGCCAAAAATCCTTTAAGGCTTTAGACTTACACTTTTTGTCATTTTCGGCCAAAAAATGGATTTTGTTCAAAATTTCAGTATAGGTACTCCTGAATATGCTGCTTAAGGATCTGTTAACCAAAATTTGATATCTTGATTATAACTTGTTCAAATGGCTTTTAGAAAATGTTCAAATGATATTTAGAATATTTTAATTACTTTTGCAATGCTAATTACTCGTCACTTATGGGTTTTCGAGGTCATTTCTTGGTGCTTGTGAATTATTCTGGATGTACTTAAATAGTTAGGCACATTAAATTTTAGTTCAGAGAGAAAAAGTATTTTTGGCCAAAAATCCTTTAAGGCTTTAGACTTACACTTTTTGTCATTTTCGGCCAAAAATGGATTTTGTTCAAAATTTCAGTATAGGTACTCCTGAATATGCTGCTTAAGGATCTGTTAACCAAAATTTGATATCTTGATTATAACTTGTTCAAATGGCTTTTAGAAAATGTTCAAATGATTTTTAGAATATTTTAATTACTTTTGCAATGCTAATTACTCGCCACTTATGGGTTTTCGAGGTCATTTCTTGGTGCTTGTGTATTATTCTGGATGTACTTAAATAGTTAGGCACATTAAATTTTAGTTCAGAGAAAAATGATTTTTGGCCAAAAATCCTTTAAGGCTTTAGACTTACAAATTTTGTCATTTCGGCCCAAAAATGGATTTTGTTCAAAATTTCAGTATAGGTACTCCTGAATGTGCTGCTTAAGGATCTGTTAACTAAAATTTGATATCTTGATTATAACTTGTTCAAATGGCTTTTAGAAAATGTTCAAATGATTTTTAGAATATTTTAATTACTTTTGCAATGCTAATTACTCGCCACTTATGGGTTTTCGAGGTCATTTATTGGTGCTTGTGTATTATTCTGGATGTACTTAAAAAGTTAGGCACATTAAATTTTAGTTCAGAGAGAAAACGTATTTTTGGCCAAAAATCCTTTAAGGCTTTAGACTTACAATTTTTGTCATTTTCGGCCAAAAAATGGATTTTGTTCAAAATTTCAGTATAGGTACTCCTGAATGTGCTGCTTAAGGATCTGTTAACCAAAATTTGATATCTTGATTATAACTTGTTCAAATGGCTTTTAGAAAATGTTCAAATGATTTTTAGAATATTTTAATTACTTTTGCAATGCTAATTACTCGCCACTTATGGGTTTTCGAGGTCATTTCTTGGTGCTTGTGTATTATTCTGGATGTACTTAAATAGTTAGGCACATTAAATTTTAGTTCAGAGAGAAAAAGTATTTTTGGCCAATAATCCTTTAAGGCAATAGACTTACAAATTTTGTCATTTTCGGCCAAAAAATGGATTTTGTTCAAAATTTCAGTATAGGTACTCCTGAATGTGCTGCTTAAAGATCTGTTAACCAAAATTTGATATCTTGATTATGACTTGTTCAAATGGCTTTTAGAAAATGTTCAAATGATTTTTAGAATATTTTAATTACTTTTGCAATGCTAATTACTCGCCACTTATGGGTTTTCGAGGTCATTTATTGGTGCTTGTGTATTATTCTGGATGTACCCTACTTAAAAAGTTAGGCGCATTAAATTTTAGTGCAGAGAGAAAAAGTATTTTTGGCCAAAAATCCTGTAAGGTATAAGATTTACAATTTTTGTCATTTTCGGTCAAAAAATAGATTTTGTTCAAAATCTCAGTATAGGTACTTTATTGGGCTAATGAAATATATATATATATATATATATATATATATATATATATATATATATATATATATATATATATATATATATATATATATATATATATATATATATATATATATATATATATATTGAAACATGCTAACATTTCTATGAATTTGGGGGCCCACTGATGAGTTTGGCCTGGGGCCCACAAGTAGGTAAATCCGGCCCTAGTGTGTATGTTCTGTCATGGTAAAGGAAGATAAGTTATCATCAATTAATTGTTTCCATTTTTCAGGTATGCTTCAAGAATAAAGCAGATTACAAATAACATCAGCAAAAACTCTGATAATAAGGAAATTTCCAGATTAAAATCGGTAAGTTTGATTGATTGTAATTAATTCCTCAATGATTAAATCTTTAAACATTCACATCAAGTATACTAATTCTCTCTTTTTAAATAACTTTTGTTTTCTTAGTTTATCTTATTAAAGCTTTTGAAAACCTTATAATCATTATTCGTTTCATAAATGTATTTTGTTAAGCTTTTGTTATCACCTTTTCGCTTTGCTTGCATATTTTAAATTTATTATTCTGTTTTGTTATGAATTATGATTTTTTTTATTATTGCTTTTAAAGTCATCACATAATTGTCTTTATATAAATATAATCTGAGAGCCTATGCACCACCCGCTCCAAAAAGTATCTTTGCAATTTTGTGAGATAATATGACACAATGGGCAAAGGTTTTTGACAACGCTACCGAGACAACAGGAGTTACAGTGTTCAGTCTGAAATTCATCGAACTTTATTAGTATGTGGACCCGATTGTCAGTAATACATATTGATCACTTCTTTTGTTTTTAGTATAGAAAGTCAACAGCTATTGTTATCTTACAGATCATAAACAAACTCAAGAAAGGAGAGTATCCGGACGAGGAGGCTCTATGAGGGTGATGAAGAGCTCCACCATAGCCCCACCACCGTAACCCCAACCATAGCTTCTACCATAGCCCTCACCATAGCCTCTACCATAGCTCCACCACCATAGCCTCCACCAACAACAGACGACCAAATGTATTTATTTACTTGTGGGGGGCCAGCCACAACTGACTACTAAAGAAAACTAAAACCATACAGTGATTCTTATACCAATGGAAACTGCAAAGCTTATCGACTTTATTTTTCCAACACTAAAGAGAAAATACACCATTGGGCTAAAAAAACATATTCAGATATTTTATGAGGCTGATATGACACCCACCAGAGGACTATAATTATGTACACTAGTAGTAGAACAGTGAACGTTATTTACACCAGAGCATTAGTGCTAGAGTGAAAAACAAAACAATACTAATAACCTCTGAGTGTAGATGCGACCGTCAGTAATTAAGAAAGTAAAATTCTTTAAAAATACAGGTATATATATATTTATATTGCAGTGAAGGATTTTGAATTATACACAAATCCATGAATGTGTTTGTTATGTTTTGTTTATTTGTTATTGTTGAGTTTGTCGAAGTGCTAGCATTCGAGATTGTCATATAAGTTTTTTTATTAGTAGTATTTTTAAAAAACACTGATTTTTTTAATGATTTTAATTAAGAATCATAAATATTAGAGAGATTTCTTAATTAATATAGATGTTACCTCATATGCATTGTAAATACCATTATTAAGTCATGTGGCGCCTCATCACGACACACGAATTGAAGAAGCAACATTGTCATCACACTTGACGGAATTTCTCTTACAGGTTCAAGCATATTTCTTCCTTATTTATGTAGTGCCTTTAGTTCGCACTTCAACTGTTTTTTGTCTTTTTTTGTTATACATCCTCCATAATCCCACACTAAATTAAAATAAAGGTATCGATGATAATTGATAGTGAATTTGTTATATATGTGTGTGTGTGCATGCAGTGAATAATGTATCTGGCAGTTGAATAATGATGATGAGGAGGAGGAGGAAGTCATTTGTAAAGCATATATTACAATTAACACCTGAAAATCATATCCCACAACCTATTATTAATAATGAGCCTAAGACTTCACTAATTAGTCCGCTGTCAGTAATCATCTGGAAACTAAACTTGTACAAAATCTGTGATGTTAGTCGATTTTTAATGTAGTTTGAAATGTTTCCTGGTAACTATGTAATAATTTTGGCGTCTATATTCCTGTCTTGTGTTATGACATGAAGCGTAGTAAATGTTCCTTTAAAATCCTTTTGTTTACATTACCTAAATCATGGACCTGTTTTCTATGTTAAAAATAATCCACTTCTAACTCTCACCAGTTGGGATTATGTTTGTGTCGCTACTGTTTTCATCTTGACTACTTCAACTGAGGCTATGAGGATGGTTTTATGACTTGAGATTAATGAAAAAAAAAAATATGGACGTCAACACACTATAGGTAAGCTGCTGTTTCGCGAGTGTTGTGAAACAATTCCTCTGCCACTTCTATTTATATTACCTATGACTATACTGTTATCCATATAGGTTACATTATGCAAATACAGTGAGGAAAAGGATAGAATGAAGGAACAGACATTACGTCTACGTAGATAATAAAGCCGATTAAAACAGTGGAGTGAAAGTTTCTCTACTGACGACTGTAAGGAGAGTTTGAAAGTGAAGGGTGGACTTGTGTTGCATGGGATTTAGGGAAGGCTTCGCTGTGTTGTCAAAGAGTGAGGGAAGGTCATGTTGTTACCTCTAGAGGAGTGAGAAAAGATATATGTTGTGTACGGGGACCGAAAGTACTCGGCTCTGTTAAGAATGAAATAGGCAAGCACTGGCTGTCTGCGTTATGTAAGAGTGGGGTAAACACTGGCTGTCTGTTTTATGTAGGAGTGCAGGGGCTTTTCCAGGGCCGGCGTCGACCCCAGAGACACTCCAGGGGCGGCTGCTACCCTAAAAGGGCTTTGCAAAGGCAGCGGCGCCCCCATGACTCTCCCAGGAAATGCGTCGCCCAAGGAGACCCTCCCAGGAGTAGTGGCGACCCCAAGAACGTCCCCAGACACGGCGGCGCCCACAGGGACCCACTCAGGCGCAACGACGCCCCATGGGATCTTTCTAGGGACCTTTCCAATTATATCCACGCCCCCAGGGACCTTACCTGGAGCAGCGGCGGCCCCAGGGACCTTCCCAGGGGCAGCGAAGCCCCCAAGGACCCTCCCAGTAGCGATTGTGCCCCCAGGAGCTCTTTCAGGTGCGGCAGGCCTCAAAGGACCCTCCTACGGGTGGCGGGGCCCCAAGGGCCCTCGAAGTGGTAATAGCGCCTCCAGGGACCTTTGCAGGGGCGACCGTAGCCACTAAGGCCCTCCCAGGACCAACAGATCCCCCAGGAACTCCCCCCCTCCTCCGAGGCAAAGGCGACCACACGGGCATTCACAGGTGCAGTGGCGCCTCGGGGGCCCTCCCAGGGGCCTTGCAAGGGGAACCCCCGGGGCCCTACCAGGGGCGCCTCCTCCTTAAGCCCAATAACTTGCTCGGTCGTGGTGTTGTACATATTGTATTGCATACGTCCAGCAATCCCATACTTAACTGTGATTGGTGGACTAGAATGTTTATCCACCAAAATTACAGCCAATAGGAGAAGAGAGCAGTCAGTCAGCACAACACCCCAACTTATGTTTTCCTGTTGGATATTTATTCTCCTTTACATTGTTCATGAGGGGTTGATACTGGAAATGCGATGGGTGGTGAGTTATTTTTCGTCATATCTCCCATTGTTCTGTCCAGCAATCCCTTGTTTAACTGTGATTGGTGGACTAGAATGTTTACCCACCATATTACAGCCAATAGGAGAACAGAGCAGTCAGTCAGCACAACACCCCAACTTATGTTTTCCTGTTGGATATTTATTCTCCTTTACATTGTTCATGAGGAGATGATACTGGAAATGCGATGGGCGGTGAGTTATTTAACGTCATATCTCCCCATTGTTCTGTCCAACAATCCCTTCCTTAACGGTGATTGGTGGACTAGAATGTTATCCACCAAATTACAGCCAATAGGAGAACAGAGTAGTCAGTCAGCACAACACCCCAACTTATGTTTTCCTGTTGGATATTTAGTCTCCTTTACATTGTTCATGTGGGGTTGATACTGGAAATGCGGTGAGTTATTCAACGTCATATCTCCCATTGTTCTGTCCAGCAATCCCTGTCTTAACTGTGATTGGTGGACTAGAATGTTTACCCACCATATTACAGCCAATAGGAGAAGAGAGCAGTCAGTCAGCACAACACCCCAACTTATGTTTTCCTGTTGGATATTTATTCTCCTTTACATTGTTCATGAGGGTTGATACTGGAAATGCGATGGTGGTGAGTTATTTTTCGTCATATCTCATTGTTCTGTCAGCAATCCCTGCCTTAACTGTCATTGGTGGACTAGGGCATTTACCCACCATATTACAGCCAATAGGAGAAAAGGCAGTCAGTCAGCACAACACCCCAACTTATGTTTCCTGTTGGATATTTATTCTCCTTCCATTGTTCATGAGGTTTGATGCAATCGATGGGTGGTGAGTTATTTTTCGTCGTATCTCCGTGTACCTCCAGCAATCGCCTTAGCATGATTGGTGGACTAAAATGTAAATCCACCAAATAACAGCCAATAGGAGAACAGAGCAGTCAGTCAGCACAACACCCCAACTTATGTTTTGCTGTTGGATATTTATTCTCCTTTACGTTGTTGCCAGGGGTGTTGATACTGGAAATGCGTTGGTGAGTTATTCAGCGTCATATCTCCCCATTGTTCTGTCCAGCAACCCTTACATGGCATAGTTGGTGAGGACTAAGTCTTTATACGCAAATTACGTAATAGGAGAACAGAGCGGTCAGTCAGCACAACACCCCAACTTATGTTTCCTGTTGGATATTTATTCTCCTTTACATTGTACATGGCGATGACCGCAAATCACGATGATCGGTGAGTTATTCGCGTCATATATCTCATTGTTCTGTCCAGCAATCCCTTGCTTAACTTTTATGATTGATTGGACTAGATGTTTACCCATATATTACAGCCAATAGGAGAACAGAACAGTCAGTCAACTGTACCCCAACTTATGTTTTCCTGTTGGATATTTATTCTCCTTTACATTGTTCATGAGGGGTTGATACTGGAAATGCGATGGGTGGTGAGTTATTTTTCGTCATATCTCCCATTGTTCATTCCAGCAATCCCTTGCTTAACTGTGATTGGTGGACTAGAATGTTTACCCACCATATTACAGCCAATAGGAGAACAGAGCAGTCAGTCAGCACAACACCCCAACTTATGTTTTCCTGTTGGATATATATTCTCCTTTACATTGCTCATGAGGAGATGATACTGGAAATGCGATGGGCGGTGAGTTATTTAACGTCATATCCCCCATTGTTCTGTCCAACAATCCCTTCCTTAACGGTGATTGGTGGACTAGAATGTTATCCACCAAATTACAGCCAATAGGAGAACAGAGTAGTCAGTCAGCACAACACCCCAACTTATGTTTTCCTGTTGGATATTTATTCTCCTTTACATTGTTCATGTGGGGTTGATACTGGAAATGCTATGGGCGATATGACGAAAAATAACTCACCACCCATCGCATTTCCAGTATCAACCCCTCATGAACAATGTAAAGGAGAATAAATATCCAACAGGAAAACATAAGTTGGGGTGTTGTGCTGACTGACTGCTCTCTTCTCCTATTGGCTGTAATATGGTGGGTAAACATTCTAGTCCACCAATCACAGTTAAGCAAGGGATTGCTGGAACGAACAATGGGAGATATGACGTTAAATAACTCACCGCCCATCGCATTTCCAGTATCAACCCCTCATGAACAATGTAAAGGAGAATAAATATCCAACAGGAAAACATAAGTTGGGGTGTTGTGCTGACTGACTGCTCTCTTCTCCTATTGGCTGTAATATGGTGGGTAAACATTCTAGTCCACCAATCACAGTTAAGCAAGGGATTGCTGGAACGAACAATGGGAGATATGACGTTAAATAACTCACCGCCCATCGCATTTCCAGTATCAACCCCTCATGAACAATGTAAAGGAGAAGAAATATCCAACAGGAAAACATAAGTTGGGGTGTTGTGCTGACTGACTGCTCTGTTCTCCTATTGGCTGTAATATGGTGGGTAAACATTCTAGTCCACCAATCACAGTTAAGCAAGGGATTGCTGGACAGAACAATGGGAGATATGACGAAAAATAACTCACCACCCATCGCATTTCCAGTATCAACCCCTCATGAGCAATGTAAAGGAGAATAAATATCCAACAGGTAAACATAAGTTGGGGTGTTGTGCTGACTGACTGCTCTGTTCTCCTATTGGCTGTAATATGGTGGGTAAACATTCTAGTCCACCAATCACAGTTAAGCAAGGGATTGCTGGACAGAACAATGGGAGATATGACGAAAAATAACTCACCACCCATCGCATTTCCAGTATCAACCCCTCATGAAAAATGTAAAGGAGACTAAATATCCAACAGGAAAACATAAGTTGGGGTGTTGTGCTGACTGACTGCTCTCTTCTCCTATTGGCTGTAATAGGGTGGGTAAACATTCTAGTCCACCAATCACAGTTAAGCAAGGGATTGCTGGAACGAACAATGGGAGATATGACGTTAAATAACTCACCGCCCATCGCATTTCCAGTATCAACCCCTCATGAGCAATGTAAAGGAGAATAAATATCCAACAGGAAAACATAAGTTGGGGTGTTGTGCTGACTGACTTCTCTCTTCTCCTATTGGCTGTAATATGGTGGGTAAACATTCTAGTCCACCAATCACAGTTAAGACAGGGATTGCTGGACAGAACAATGGGAGATATGACGAAAAATAACTCACCACCCATCGCATTTCCAGTATCAACCCCTCATGAACAATGTAAAGGAGAATAAATATCCAACAGGAAAACATAAGTTAAAAGTTGTGCTGACTGACTGCTCTCTTTCTCCTATTGGCTGTAATATGGTGGGTAAAACATTCAGTCCACCCCATCACAGTTAAGCAAGGGATTGCTGACAGGAAATAATGTAGATATGACGAAAATAACTCACCACCCATCGCATTTCCAGTATCAACCCTCATGAACAATGTAAAGGAGAACTAAATATCCAACAGGAAAACATAAGTTGGGGTGTTGTGCTGACTGACTGCTCTCTTCTCCTATTGGCTGTAATATGGTGGGTAAACATTCTAG